TAGGTCCCAGATTTCATCACAACAGCCGTATGTCCCAGGAGAAAAAAAAACGTGTTTATAAGCTTAATCTTTGGCCAGTGCTTTTATGGAAGTCCTCACAAATGTTGTTTATGGTTATGAGTAAACCAGATGATCCCAAACCAGAGACGATTTTCATTTATTGCAGCCAGATGTTTAATCCAAAGGTAGAAGGCAGTGGTTAATGGAGATCTGCAGAGGATGCGATGGCGTGGATAACACGATGATCTGACCCGGGCTGGAAATTGGCAGCTCTGCGAGACCTTTCCCAAAATAACTCAGTAAATGTCATCAGAACAGGGCTGTGAGCGTTGATCTGTTGTCTTTTAGATTATTTAAATGTTTTCGAGAAAACCTGAAGGTGATTTCTCTTATTAAAGATGAGAGAGTGTTGAGATGCAGATAAAAAACACACAGAAGGTTCAAACAGAAACCCTCAAGTCCTGCTTGCGAGGAGCTAATGAGGGTTTTAACGAACAATACCAGGGCAAACAGCTGTGATTTTAAATCCTTACCCACATTAATTATACAAATTCTACATCTTTACAATTATTAGGAGATGTTCCTTCTGCATTAATCACCTCAGTTTGAAGATGTCACCTTTTGAAACTTGACATTGATTTCCAAACTTGCAAGTTAGCTTAAAAGCTACAACTTCAGAATAACGTTAACACACTAATGCATCTCTGAAAGATGTTTCATGACAATAATAAAACGCTGCATCACCTCTGATAACCATTAAAAGGATATTTCAGGTCTACTGAAGAGTTTTCTATTGAAAACTCTATCTTGCTTCTTTTAGCGACCTCAGTTTGGAGAAATATATATTCACTAGTCTAGCTGACACCTAAAGTATTTAGAATACCCTAAAACAAATATATCAGAAATATTGTTGCGATAAATTTAATTATTGTAGTTTATTTACATAGAATTCTGTGGCGCTTTGAAGCAGGAAATAGCATAGAGATATGGACCAATGGGCTCGACACACGGGAGGCGGCATCGCCTCTCTTCCATTCATTTTCAATGAGACATGCGCGACAAAGCGATAATCGCGGGTCTCCCTCCTACCAAGCGAAACGCGAAAAACGTGCGTGTGAAATTTTGCGCTCGTGCACGTGTCGTGCACAGGCGACCCAGCTACGCGATCCCAGAAAGTTGAAATATTTTCAACTTTTCATTGCTGTCGCTCAGACGAGGACCAATCAATGGAGGCTTCATTGACTGACCAATGAGCGGACAGGATGCTCCGTACACCTCCGAGCAAACATGAAGGAGAAGTTGATTATTATTATGTTTTATAGTAAAATCACAAGTAAGATTTCACATAACTCTAGCAGCACCTTGTGAAACATCATATCTACCACTTTATTAACTCTGAACCGCTTAAATAACCTTAATTCCCTCCAACCTGGCACAGCCAAACAAAACAACGGAAGTTTCAATTTCGCCATGGAACAGAACGCGTAGACGGCTTTGCCGCTGGCCACTGCCGCGGGTTGCCTCCCATGTGTCAGGTAATAAAAGCGACAGCAACGAATTTCGCTGATCGCGGTCGTTTGTCGCCTCCCGTGTGTCGAGCCCCCAATAGGGACACAAATAAATACTTTAGTTTTTCTTTTATTATGCATTGCCAGCCTTTGAAACTAGACAAACCGTAGCAGTAGCAGAATATTTTGCCCTGCAGGCCGGTCTAGCCGTGCTCTGTTGTAGCCTCAGCAGGTCTACCATTAGTTTGGCTAACTAAGTTAGGCCGGTTACAGCCCTCTGTGTTTGTAGAGAGGTGTTGAGCAGGCTTAGCTCCGCCACAGCAGAACTTTTTTTGTGATTAAGACAGAGCTGCAGAGGTGTGAGCAAGTCACTGCTTTGCAAGTCACAAGTAAGTCACAATTCTTTCCAGTCAAGTCCAAGTCAAAGACAACCAAGTCCAAGTCAAGTCCACGTCCTTAACTTTGAATTTTCAAGTCACAGTCAAGTCATCTGTCCAACTTCAATTTAATGACAATGATACATAAATAAATTCCAGAAATAAAGCTTCTTAAAGCTTCATTTATTTGCTCAAATAAGTCAGGTGGATCACTGACTTCCTGACAGACCGTAGGCAGTGCGTGCGGCTGGGGAAGAATGTTTCCACCGCTAAGACTATTAGCACAGGATCTCCACAGGGCTGTGTACTTTCTCCTCTGCTCTTCTCCCTGTACACAAACTGCTGCACCTCGAGCCATGACTCCGTTAAACTGATCAAGTTTGCGGACGACACCACCCTCATCGGGCTCATCTCTGACGGTGATGAGTCCGCCTACAGGAGGGCGGTAGAACGGCTGGTGTACTGGTGCAGCAGCAACAACCTGGAGCTCAATGCTCAGAAGACAGTGGAGATGATTGTGGACTTCAGGAAAGTCACAGCCCCATCTCTCCCCCTCGTCCTGACGGACACACCTGTCACCACTGTGGACTCCTTCCGCTTCCTCAGAACCACCATCACACATGACCTTAGGTGGGAGCCATCCATCAGCTCCCTGCTCAAAAAGGCCCAGAAGAGGATGTACTTTCTGCAGCAGTTGAAAAAGGCCAAGCTGCCGGCCCAGATGATGGTGCAGTTTTACATGGCCATCATTGAGTCCATCCTCACCTCCTCCATCACTGTGTGGTACGCTGGAGCCACGGTGAGGAACAAACATAGACAGCAGCGCATTGTGCGCTCTGCTGAGAAGGCGATTGGCTGCAGCCTTCCATCTCTCCAAGACCTGTACGTCTCCAGAACTCAGGGGCGTGCAGGTCGGATAGCAGCTGACCCTTCGCACCCGGGTCACAGACTTTTTGAGCCGCTTCCCTCAGGCAGGAGGTTACGGTCCATCCGGACCAGAACCTCCCGCCATAAGAACAGCTTCTTTCCATCTGCCGTTAGACTTGTGAATAGATTATAAACACACAACCATGCTCGTCTTCTGCACTCGACACAACGTCACGTGATCGGCCATGTTACCATTACCTGCCATTTTTTATCGCTGAAAGTTTTATTCTAGTTTTTTATTATATTTTATTCTATTTTATTTTATTTTTAATCTTAGTATTCATGTTATATGTAGCACATTAGTACCGAAGCAAGTTCCTAGTTTGTGAATTGTTTGTTCACTGACAATGGCAATAAACCTATTCTGATTCTGATTCTGATTCAAACAAGCAGGAGGTGCAACTGAAGTTGATTATAAACAAAGTGCTGCTGCATTTAGCAGTACAACATCAAACCCAGAACGAAGAACGGTTCATGAATTTTGTCAATGTCGTGCCACTTTTGTGCTAAAATACCAAATATGCTCAAGTTGTCAAGTCAACAGATGCAAGTCCATTCAGATCGCAAGTCATTATCGTTCAAGTCCGAGTCAAGTCGTAAGTCTTTATAGATTTTATCAAGTCAGAAGTCATTAAAATAATGACCCGAGTCTGACTCGAGTCCAAGTCATGTGACTTGGGTCCACACCCCTGCAGAGCTGTGAGAGCAAAAACAACAGTGTAGGTGGCTCAGGAGCCGTGCTTGTTTGAAATGGCGTTGGTATCAGGTTTGGACAATTTAGACTTGGACTTTTAGATTTTAGCAGATAGAGGTCGTTCTACTTCTTTGACGGTGTAATGGCAGACTTCCTGATTGACTGATTTTTGTTACAATTAAAGGGATACTTTGCAACTTTTTCATATTTTAAATCATTTTCTTGAGCTAGTATGCACTAAAATGACCCTTTTGGTTAATGAAAGGCCACCCAGCACCTACCACCCCCTGTGGCCAGAATTTTCCACCTGCCACTTGACTACTCTGTTGGGACTTGGAAAAAATTGAGCTTACAAACCTGGTGCTGCAGTCAGTTCCAGCATGTTTCCTGCATGTTTTAGACCATGAACACATTTGTACTGTCCCCTTGTTTAAGACCATGAACACATTTGTACTGTCCCCTTCTGTAGACACTAAGGAAGACGTTTTAGCTGTTAGATTGAGGTGTTAAAAACAAACGCACAGCTATGAGATGGGTTTTGCTTTCCGTTCTAGTGCTAAAAGCAAGCCAAAACTGCCTACTTCCCTTTTAATATGTCACATTTGTTGCTCTGAATCATCCTGGCACTGTCCACCTGAATGCAGAGAAAGTTTGAAAGACAAACCGTTGATTCAGTTCCTAAGAATGAGTTCTGTTTATGGGTCGTGATCATTCTGTATACGTATTTACGTATACAGGACGGCTTGCCAGACTAGAATATTGAAAATAATAAACTCAAAAACTACAACCTTGCTAAGGTGTAGGGAGCAAAAAGATGGCTGAAATTGCCTTTGTAAGTAGACTGACCAGCCAGAAGCTCATTGGTGCGATCAGAGCTAACAGCTACAACAAGAATGATTTTAGATGTTTCCACAGAACTCAATTTGACTAAATCTGAAGATGCTTTAAAGGCACACTTGGCAGTTTTGCGTGCTTTTATCACCCTCTAGTGTTCGCTATTAATTTGCTGTGGTCAAACCGAAAATGAAACGTATCTCCTCGATGTAAGTTTGCCTTTATAACATCCTAATCTAACAGCGGAAATGTCTCCTCAGCCTTCCTTGGTGTCTACAGGAACAGTTCATCACTAAATTAAACAAATCAGCAGTGTTCATGATCTAAAACAAGCAGGGGACATGCTGGAAGCAGACTGCAGCGCCAGGCATGTCAGCATTCTGGCCTCAGAGGCTGAAGGGGGTCCACGTGACATTTCATCCAACCTGTAAAGGGTCGTTTTAGCTCAAGAAAATGATTTTCTAACCCCAACCCTGTAAGGCGTGAAGTGGTTATTTCTAATAATGTCTAATTACCTAAATTTTGACTGAATTTTCTTTTCTTTTTGTTGCAGTTGTGGGTATTTGAACATAAATGAAGATCAGGAAGTCTTGTTGCTTTGATTTTTGACTGCAGGGGTTTTGAAGCGTTTGTGCGGTTCTTCTCCTCTTATTCTTCCAGTGCCACCCCAGATTACTGCAAAGCCTCGAGACCAGATTGCAACCCAGGGGAGGAGCATTACCTTCCAATGTGGCACCACAGGAAACCCCCCACCTGCCATCTTCTGGCAGAAAGAGGGCAGCCAGGTAAGAGACCCGAGCAGCGACTGTTACCCATTAGAGTTAAATCCATTAACATACTTATTTGAACAGAAACCTTAAGCCATTATGTATGGGTAGGTGGTGGGTTGTTATTGTAAACTTTACAAACCCTTTATTGTTTGTCAAGTGAATATTCAAGAGTTTCACACTTTCAATTCAAAGGCGAGAATGACTCACTCCAACGTTAGCGGATTTTGTCTCATTTCATCATTGACACCTTTTTTTTGCTTTGAGTTGCCCACACGCCCGAGTGCATTTTGCTCTGCGGTATAAGTAGAGACAAGGTTTCTGAAGAAAGTCTCTTTATTATTTTCCTGCTGGGTGGAACACAGCGGGTGGGGGGTGGGGGGGTTAGTTGGATGAAGGAGGGCTTACAGGAAGTACACCAGGTGTTGAAATTGCTTCTTCAGGGCAAACTTGTGGACAAACTCTGCCCTCCTTTCTCAATTAAACCCAACTCTGATTACCGTGATGCTCGGTTAGCAGCTGGGGTCACTGACTTGAAGGAGAGGGTTTAGAGGAATTTTTTGGAACAAGCTTTGGTCTGTGAGATGCTCCTGGCATGCCTCGTCGGTTTGTAGAGGGCTGGGGTTTTTTTTTTTTTTTGCTCTGTTTGGGGGATTATGTGTAGCCTTATAACCTTGGTCCATCTACTGGGATCTAAGCCTCTTAGAGGAATGAAATAGATGGCTGAATGGACTGATGCCTCCCTTCCCCCTTGTTTACATCCGTGTCAGCAACAGGGAAATACTGGATGGGACTCCTATTAAACATCTGCTCCTGGGTAACATCCAGCAAAACAACAAGCAACACTTTTTAAAATTTTTTTTTACATGTTTTTATTTAGATAATAGCCTTAATGAATGGTTTACTGAAGGTGGTTTGTATAATGTGACCAACAGGGAGGAAATAATTAGTCCCACGAAATTTATTTCCCAGCAATAATGATTAATTTGTAGTTAAAGTGCTGAGCCGAGACTAGTGCTGCAACAGGGGTAGATCACCCTAAAAGCAGTGTCTCATTGGGCTGCATCTGTGGGCAAATCGCTTTCATGCAGGAGTTCTCAAATATGTCAAAATGTTCTTTTTCTTTGCTTTGGATTTCTTTTTTCATTTAGGTTAGAGAACTTTAAATACGTGAGACGTGAGTTTTTCATCCAGGCTGAACATGAAAATAGTCTCCTACACCTCCTTCATTAGCCTCTGATAGAAAATAGACAGTGAAACTCTACGTCTGACAGATCTATGTCACACTGTCCCTGAACATTCATGGACTCACCCATCTTGACTCAAAACGGGGAAAGCTGTTGTTGGTTTAACATCCAGGAAGCGTGATTTGGAATCGTAGAATGTCCAAGGAAGATCCTGCCTTTCTTGGCTCTGATTGGCTACAGTGGCTATCCCATGATTGGTTGTTTCATTTAGCAGCAAACCGTATTCGCTAAGTGCAGGCTGTCTTTCTGCCACCCATAGAACAGCTGTTTTGAGGAAGAAAATGTGAGCTTAGAGCTATTAAAACCATTCTGTCCTTCAGTGGGGCCTTCCTTGGACATCCTGCAATTCCAAATCATGCGTTCAGGAAACAACAGAGAATGTCTCAGATAATAGAAGCTAACCATTAGCATTAGCGACTCCACCACACAGCAGAACTCCTTCAGGCTTGTGTTATTTGTGGAGAAAAAATATCCATGTCACAGAGAAAACAGAGTCAGTGGTAGAGTCACGTTGCGATTAGCCAGTCAAATGCAAAATAAAGGAAATATCAGGAAATAAGACTCCAAATCATTTCCTCTGATGTGGCATTCTCCTAGTTCCTGAAACAAGTGCATCTGAGATTTTTCCCACCCAAGTACGACTTGCAAGGCATTAATTTCTACTAGAGACCACTGCAAATGTCTTGTTTGAATGAATGTCACACCCCATTTAAGGCATAATTGGAGTTTTCTGCGAATAAATTGTCTCGTCTCGTCTTCCTCCGCTTATCCGGGTCCGGGTCGCGGGGGCAGCATCCCAACTAGGGAGCTCCAGGCCGTCCTCTCCCCGGCCTTGTCCACCAGCTCCTCCGGCAGGACCCCAAGGCGTTCCCGGACCAGATTGGAGATGTAACCTCTCCAACGTGTCCTGGGTCGACCCGGGGGCCTTCTGCCGGCAGGACATGCCCGAAACACCTCCCCGGGGAGGCGTCCAGGAGGCATCCTAACCAGATGCCCAAACCACCTCAACTGGCTCCTTTCGATCCGGAGGAGCAGCGGTTCTACTCCGAGTCCCTCCCGAATGTCCGAGCTCCTCACCCTATCTCTAAGGCTGAGCCCGGCCACCCTACGGAGGAAACTCATTTCGGCCGCTTGTATCCGCGATCTCGTTCTTTCAGTCATTACCCAAAGCTCATGACCATAGGTGAGGATTGGGGCGTAGATCGACCGGTAAATCGAGAGCCTGGCTTTCTGGCTCAGCTCCCTCTTCCCCACGACAGATCGGCTCAGCGTCCGCATCACTGCAGACGCCGAACCAATCCGCCTGTCGATCTCTCGATCCCTCCTACCCTCACTCGTGAACAAGACCCCGAGATACTTAAACTCCTCCACTTGAGGTAGGACCTCTCCCCCGACCCGGAGTTGGCAAGCCACCCTTTTCCGGTCGAGAACCATGGTCTCAGATTTGGAGGTGCTGATCCTCATCCCAGCCGCTTCACATTCGGCCGCGAACCTACCCAGCAAGAGCTGAAGGTCAGAGCTGGATGAAGCTAGGAGGACCACATCATCCGCAAAAAGCAGAGACGAGATTCTCCTGCCACCAAACTCGACACACTCCACACCACGGCTGCGTCTATAAATTCTGTCCATAAAAGTGATGAACAGAACCGGTGACAAAGGGCAGCCCTGGCGGAGTCCAACCCTCACTGGGAACAGGTCCGACTTACTACCGGCTATGCGGACCAAACTCACGCTCCTCTGGTAAAGGGACTGAATGGCCCTTAACAGAAAGCCACCCACCCCATACTCCTGGAGCGTCCCCCACAGGGTGCCCCTGGGGACACGGTCATAAGCCTTCTCCAAATCCACAAAGCACATGTGGATTGGTTGGGCAAACTCCCATGCCCCCTCCATCACCCTTGCAAGGGTATAGAGCTGGTCCACAGTTCCACGGCCAGGACGAAAACCACATTGCTCCTCCTCTATCTGAGATTCAACTATCGATCGGACCCTCCTCTCCAGTACCTTGGCGTAGACCTTTCCAGGGAGGCTGAGGAGTGTGATCCCCCTATAGTTGGAACACACCCTCAGGTCACCCTTCTTAAAGATGGGGACCACCACCCCAGTCTGCCACTCCCTAGGAACTGCCCCCGATGACCACGCAATGTTGCAGAGACGTGTCAACCATGACAGCCCTACAACATCCATAGCCTTGAGATACCCAGGACGAACCTCATCCGCCCCCGGGGCTCCGCCGCTGTGTAGTTGTTTGACTACCTCAGCAACTTCTGCCCCCGAGATCGGACAGTCCATCCCCAGGCCTCCCAGCTCTGGTTCCTCCTCGGAATGCGCATTGGTGGGATTGAGGAGCTCCTCAAAGTATTCCTTCCACCGTCCGACTATAGCCTCAGTTGACATCAGCAGCTCCCCATCCCCACTGTAAACAGTGTGAGCGAGTTGCTGCCTTCCTCTCCCGAGGCGCCGGACAGTTTGCCAGAACCTCTTTGGAGCCGATCGATAGTCTTTCTCCATGGCCTCACCAAACTCCTCCCACGCCCGAGATTTTGCCTCGGCAACTGCCACTGCTGCACCCCGCTTGGCTATCCGGTACCTGTCTGCTGCCTCCGGAGACCCACAGACCAGCCACGCCCTGTAGGCCTCCTTCTTCAGCCTGACGGCTCCCCGAACCTCTGGTGTCCACCAGCGGGTACGGGGGTTGCCACCACGACTGGCACCGGCCACCTTACGACCACAGCTAGCAACAGCCGCCTCGACAATCGCAGAGTGGAACAAGGCCCACTCGGACTCAATGTCCCCCACTGCTCTCGGGACGTGGTCAAAGCTCTGCCGGAGGTGGGAGTTGAAGACCGTCTTGACAGGTTCTTCTGCCAGGCGTTCCCAGCAGACCCTCACTATGCGTTTGGGTCTGCCAGGTCTACGCGGCATGTTCCCTTGCCATCTGATCCAACTCACCACCAGGTGGTGATCAGTTGACAGCTCCGCCCCTCTCTTCACTCGGGTGTCCAAAACATACGGCCGCAGGTCAGATGATACGACTACAAAATCTATCATCGACCTGTGACCTAGGCTGCCCTGGTACCAAGTGTACCGGTGGGCATCCTTATGTTCGAACATGGTGTTCGTTATGGCCAAACTGCGGCTTGCACAGAAGTCCAATAACAAAACACCGCTCGAGTTCTGATCAGGTGGGCCGTTCCTCCCAATCACACCCCTCCAGGTCAAGCTGTCATTGCCCACGTGAGCATTGAAGTCCCCCAGCAGGACAATGGAGTCCCCTGATGGAGCACTATCTAGCACTCGTCCCAGGGACTCCAAAAAGGGTGGGTACTCTGAACTGATATTTGGCCCATAAGCACAAACAACAGTCAGGACCCGTTCACCGACCCGAAGGCGCAAGGAAGCTACCCTCTTGTCCCCCGGGGTAAACCCCAACACACAGGCAGAGAGTCTCGGGGCTAACAAAAAGCCAACCCCAGCCCTCCGCCTCTCACCCGGAGCAACTCCAGCAAAGTAGAGTGTCCAACCCCTCTCCAGGTCTCGGGTTCCAGAGCCAATGCTATGTGTCGAGGTGAGTCCGACTATATCTAGCCGGTACCGCTCAACCTCTGCCACAAGCTCCGGCTCCTTCCCCGCCAGCGAGGTGACGTTCCATGTCCCAAAAACTAGTTTTCTTGTCCGGGGATTGGACCGCCAAGGCTCCCGCCTTGGTCTGCCACCCGATTCACATTGCACCGGACCCTTCATGTTCCTCCTGCGGGTGGTGGGTCCACA